ACTAAGTTCTGAGGATCAAACACTCAGGGAGGGTGCTTCAAAGATTATCCAATGGCAAATGATGGTCAGATGATAAAATACCTCAAGTATGTTAATGATACTACCTACTACTGCCCAGACGTCACTCTTCAAGTCCTTTCTAGTCAGCATAAGAAATTAAAAAAGGTATAATGCTTTTTTGGTCCACCCTTTTAAAAAAGGAAAATCCCATCTCCATTTCCAAAAGCCTTTCCAAACTGGATTTTTGGCGACTATATTCTGAAAACTATACCAACGAAGCTGGCTTGAAATTCTGTCCACTCACAACTGTCCACCACTGGGGTCACCAGTCAGTTCATTCTCTTGACGGCTTTAACCATCAGTTGACTGAGATTAAAAAAAAAAAATAAAAGCCTCGGAATCATCTAGTCCTTGGTATCTCTGCCCCCTGACCACCCCTCAGACTCCTCCCCAACCAATTATTTGCATTCATGTCTCCAGGTGTAGGAATTGGCCTTTGGCTCCTTCTGTACCATGAAGACAGGGCTCTCTCTGGCTGAGGGTGGAACTCCCCACTCAACAGCAGGAGAGCCATTTGGTGGACAGCAGAGTCCTAACTCCATAGCCCAGGGGTCAGTTACTTGCCACTGAGTCTTCTAACTTCTCATTTTGCCAGTTGGGGGTTTGGTGGCTTCGCCTGAAGGCTCCACACAATGGCATCAATATCCAAACCTGCGGGGCTCTGGAGGCATTCACAACTCCACCAGGCACTTCTAGGACATGAAAGGGCTTGCCCTGCAGCCCTCATGGGGAGTTCTCTTTCCACTGTTCGCACAGTGTCTGTTGGCAACTGGCAACAGCTTCACTAGCTGCTTATGGGGTAAAGTTTACTGGGCACCCACTGAATGCAAGCGCTAGACCCACAGCCCCGAGCAAGCTGTGCTACTTTCTGTGTAGAAACTAGTAGGAGTTTATAGTTCTGCTTGCAAATTATGATACCTGTCAAAGCCTTCCCGCAAGTGGGGGAGACAGGCTAAAAACAAAACAAACAACAAAAAAAAAACCTCTTTGAAAACCTTATCCGGCGCCTAGACCGTCAGGATTTGTTTGAACCCAGACCTGTCTCCCACAGCCAATTAACACCTCTTATCTGATCATCCAGTCCAGACGAAAGGTTGAATTGACCTCAAGGTTGAATTGACCTCGTCTGCCCGTGTCCTTGGCAATGGGGGCAAACCCTATGAAGGGTCGCGGCTTCGCTGCTGGCGGAGGGGTAGGCGAGGGATGGGGGTAAGTTACAGGGTTTGGGTTATTTGGGTCCTCAGTGGTGTGCACCAACGTGGGGACATTTGGGCTGCCGCCATCTGCAGAAACCTGTTGTCAGGCTGCAGCAGATTTCCGGAGCAAAACCCAGTCCCCTGCGGACCACGATTAACTCCAGCAAAAAGGAGTTTCGAGGCCAGCGGCTAGCGGGGAATGGCTAGCGCCAGGGGGCTCTCCTCTGCGAGAAACCGAAAGGAACAGAGGCAGAGGGAGGGAGGCGGGCGAGCAGAGAGCACGCGCCGCCGAGCGCCCGAGCCCTCTCCTTCCAAAAGAAATTCAACCCAAGCCGCAGAAACGCTTTAGGGTAGGGCCGGGTCCCCTCAGCTTGGCTTGGAAAGCTGATTCCCACCCTGACTCCCGGCTCCCGGATTCCCAGAGGGCGGGCCGACTCCTTCCACCGCCACCCCCGTGCGCTCCTGGACGCGAGCTTGGCCGCCGGGCGCCCGGAGCGGGTGGGCCTGGCTGCAGGACCGGCAGCCCAGCGCAGGGTGGGGGCAGCCGCTTCATCACAGCTCGCCTTGCCTCCACTAACTTGTGCTGATATTAAAAAGAAATCAATCACTGAAAAGCACCGCGGTGAATATTTCTTTTTCTCACGTGGAGCGCAAAGAGAGGTGCCGGGGGAGGGGAGGCGGGACTCTTCGGCGACTACTGAGGTTTCTCCCGAGGAGAGAACAGCCGCAGGGACTTAACTTTCCGGCAAAGGGCAGCGTGGAGGAAATGCCGCAAGCGTCACCCTGGGGGTGTCCTTGGTTAGGAGGAGAGGCCAGGAGTTGGCTCGCCCCTCTCAAGCTGGTGCCTCGATTTTGCTTTCGCTGGGAATATTTTTGCCTAATAGAATGTTTATGGATCGCCCAGCTCTAGTTTCTGCTGCGTAGCCCAAACAAATCGATGCGGCGTTAGAGACGGGGTTGGGGGGAGGTGGGGGGAGGTGAGGGGGGCTCGCCAAGGCCCCACCACGTGGATGCCAGCGCACCGCGTGCTCTTCACCTGTTCCGCGGCACCAGCCGGCTCTCGGAGCGCTGCGCTGCTAGAGATCGTGCGAGTTGCGTGCATTCCCGCAGCCCTAGCAGGCTCGGGGGAGTCCTCAGCCCCCAAGTCCCGCCGGACTTCCCGCGCCACCCAGCTCGGCGGGCGCTGCGATCCTCAGCCCCCCTGATCTGGCTCTGGAGGGCAGGCGGGGGAATGCAGCAGCGCAGAGTGGTGAGCGGGAGGCAGGAGGGGGCGCTCCGGGCTGGGCCCGCCGAGCTGCCCCGAACCCCAAGCCCGGGCGGTAGTGAGGCAGGCGGCCGCACTGCAATCTGGCCAGGCGGCTTGGCAAGAAGACCCAGCCAAGTGCGCAACGCCCACGCAGCCTCCCGGCCGCCCGCCTGTCCGAGAGGCCGGGCGCCAAGGCCGCGGGGTTATTTGCTCAATTGCTCCCTTGCATGCACCTTCCGCCCCCCTTTTCCCCTGACTCCTTCTGGGAATGTGTCCCGCTGCTGCCGCTGCGGGCGGTTGAGCCGGGCACCCTCCTGGCCCGCGCACAGGTGGTGAGTCAGAGGTCTACTGGGCCTCGCCCTTTGCCACCCCCTGCATTTCCCTAGTTGCCAGCCGGCTGCTCCGACGCAAAGCCCGAGTGGCCCACGGCTTTAAATCGTTTTCTCCCGGTGCTGGAGAATATCCACCCTGGGCAGGTCCCAGTTCCTTGTCCTACCCGGAGTTCCCATCTCCGGCGGAGGCTGTCTGTGGCCTCACAGGGTGTGATCTGCCCCGCACTACGGGGCCTCTCGGCTTTTCTACAAGTGACGCAGCGCGGCCCCAGGGTTGGATGGGAGGGGGCTCTGCAGAGAGGGAGGGAGGCAGGTGGCAGAGCCCGAGTGGGTCCGAGCGGGTGTCGCGCACACACTCCACACACTCCACGCAGAGCTTGGGGACAGATGTGCGAACATCTGTGGCAGGAGGTGGCCCCTGAGTCTTCACGCTCCCTCCCGCTCTTCGCAGCACGCACAACCTGAAGTTGTGTGCGTGTGGGTCTGTGCGCGCGCGGTTGTGTGCGCCAGAGTGCGCGCGCTCGTGCGTCCGGGCCTACCAGAGTCCGCGCCTGAATACATAATATATACCGTGGGCATCTTCACCGCGCTCTCGTGCGCGCGTGCACACACACACACAGCGAATCACACAAACATACATAATTTATGCAGCCTCCAGTTCTGTGGGAGGTAATTTAATTTCGCTTCAAGCTGGGAAGTTAGAATTAAGGCTAGAGGGAATGAAGAGACACAGGAAATCTCCCCATATGGGTCCTGCACCCATATCTTTAATACCATTTGCAGCTGCCCTTCAGACCAGTTGTGGCAGAGGAGCAGCAAACGTGTGGATTTGGGAAGTATGGGCGTTCCTAAGCCATCCTGCCCCCTGAAATAAATACCAAAGCTTAAAGGAGGGGATGAGTATGTGTTGGGGGTGAGGACCGGAGTACCTGGCGCAAATCCTGCCCTTAGTCAAACCAGTTTGCTGCAGGACCTCTAGCAGGTTGTGATGCGGACTGGTGTCTAGGCGGCTGCCAAGAGTTACCCCCACCACTGCCGCCAACACAGCCATGGAAGTACATCCCCATAAGGGCTCTTCAGAAAGGCTTGTTTTCTCTCCTTTCTCTAATTCCTCCGCAGATGCTTTCCATTCTTAATCACCTGTAGCAGCTGCTAAGAGTTTTGTCAGATTACAGACACTGTTCTTAAAGGGGAGAGGGTCCCTCTTGAGATTGGTGTGGGGAAGGAAGGACTAGCCCCCCTGGGTTCCCTGAAACCAGAGATCCCATCTCAGGGAGTGTATCCCTCATCGATCTAGTGCCCCACAAATACCAGCCCCAGACTGTGCTGGGCCTTGCAGTGCTTATCTCTGCAGTCTGTCCACACACCCTTTTTGGCAGTGGTTGAGAGCAAATTCCACTCAAAAGTTTCTAACCACTTCACAAGCGTGAGAGACCTTCGAGGGCTATACAGTTTGTTTTATATAATAATATATATATTTAAAAGAACATATGATTCACATTCCCAGAAAACACAGGGGTGCAGGGAAGAGCAGGGACAACCAACCGCCTTGGTTGCCAGCAGCGCCAGCCCCAAGCCCCTAGCTCAGCCGCCAGCCAACTTGTTCCACCAGCCGGAGTCCTATGTTTTTGAGGCATATCCACACATTCTGCAAAGAATCTACAGTGTTGGGAAACCAAAACTAGAGTCTTGTCTTTCCCAAGCCCTTCAGTTAACATTACTCAATGTAGCTAAGTGGAGGGAATGCAAATGATTTATATTTCGCTGGCTAGGTTGAAGAAACTCAAGGGAGATGTGTTCTGCTTCAAGACAGGAAAAAAAAAATTCCCCAAAACTGTAATGCAAAGGCTTTGTAGTATTTTTAAACCTTTGATTCAGTCCATATGTGACATCTGAACACCGCCAAAATCTGTCTATGTTTCAAAACACACACACACACACACACTCCTAGCAGGAGAGAAAAGTTGGGTTTTAGTAGTGGTGGTGGTGGTGGTGGTGTAGGGAGGGCTGGCTGGGATCGCTCTTTAAATTATTCAGTATTGAGGGAGCCTCCTGATATGCCATTCCGAGTGGCCCCCTGCACTCGCAGTGGCTTTTGAAGGCAAAAAAAAAACAACAAAAAAAAAACCATGTTGAAATGAATAGAAAAAACTTTCAGGGGCTTACCTGGTTGGCCTCTCACTTCGTGTCTTGAAAAGTAGAGAGCTAAGAAAACCCAGGTGAGAGGAATCATATCCATTTCGAAGAAGGAGCTTTTCTCCAGAGCAGGATTTGTAGGTTTCTTGTCTAGTTATAAGTCTTTTGTGTTTTTCTCTCGCTTCTGTTCTTCCTTACAGTGTCTTCTGCAGAGGCTTCTAATGGTCAGTGTTTTCCTCCCGGGTCCTGGCGGCCCGTATTCACCTTTCTTCTTGCTGGGTCCCCACCTCGCCAGGAGGAGGGTAGCTCTTGAAATCAGCAAGAAGGGAGCAAGCCGGAAAGAGGGGACGCGTTTCCTCTCTTAAAAACAAGGCATCTATGTCCTCTCCAGTTCCTCAAAGTATCATTTCCTTTCTCCTACAACATCACGAATATTTCCCGAAGCCAAGCGTAAAAAAATAGCAAAAATAAAAGCCAACACTTGCCTTGGGCATCCCCCGGCCCCCAGGCAGCTGTGTGATCTCAGAAGCGTAAACTGACACACATCCCGGGCACCCGGGATGACACGCTGGCGGGGGCACCGATGGCCGGACGGCGGGAGCGGGAGGCGGCTGCCCAGCTCTTGCCCTCGCCGGGCTTCCCCACCGGGAGCCTCCCCCGGCGGCTACACCCGCTGAGCCAGCCTCACGAGGGGATCTGAGGAAGGAAGCTGCTGCTGCCGCTGCTGCTGCTGCTGCTGGTGCTGCTGCTGGTGCGGCGGCGGCGACTGGGATCGCCCGGGAGTGCGCGAGCCCCTCTCCGAGTTCGCTCGCGCGCGCCCTCACCTCCACCTCGCCCCGAGCCTCGCCGAGTGTCCGCGCGCCTGAGGATGTGCTGGGGGCGGGCTGCGGGCTGGTGCCTCGCTCGCGTTCTCTGCTTCCCCTCCGGCTCCCCCCTGCCTTTTCAGGCCGAGCAGCATGTGGATGTCAGAGCCGCGGCAGAGCTATCCGATTACGCGCCGGCTCAGGGCCCGCCCCTTCTGTGTTCCTGATTAAAGAGGCAGCCGCGGAGACGCGCGGCGCAGAGGCGAGCGCCGCGGCACCCAGCTCGGGCGGGGCGGGCGGCGGCTTCCCTCCGTCTCGGCCGCCTCGGGATCAAAGTTAAGGCAGCTCCCACCCAGCGGCCCCTCTCCTACCCGGCTGCTCTCGCCCACCCCCCAGCACCTCGGCGCTGGACCACAAAAGCGCTGCCGGTGCTTTGCGCCCCGGGGAAGGGAGCGCCCCCCCGACACCTCCCGGGCGCGCTGCCCTTGGCCGCGTTGCCCACGCCCGAGGGATGCTCCTCGGGAAACCCGGGAAATCCTTGGCCCCTGCCGCAGATGCCACACACGTAGAGCCCAACACAATGCCACGCGCAATGGCGTTACGGGAGAAGCAGGGTGGCGCGCGGTGTTTGGGGTGGGGAGCCGGGCGGCAGCTCAGCCTAGCGCTCGCACAGGCAGCAGTGCGTGGCGGCGACACACACGGTCAGCCCCGGCTGAATGACACCCCAAACACCCCCTGCGTTTACTAAGAGCCTTTGTTGTGTCCCAAACATGCCGCTCTCCTCTCTGCGTGAGGATCCAGGTTCTCCCTGCACCTCTAACGTCTATCAAAAGAGACTTTCTGCAGCACAGAATTTCCTCCGGTAATAGAGATTCCGACAACCCCCGTACCTGTACCTTTTTTTTGGGGGGGGGGGTTGCAAAGTACAGGTAAAGGAAGGCTCGAAATGCATCTGTGACTACTTTTCCCCGTGGAAATGTGGTCTCAATGCAGAAAGAAAGAAAACAGCATTCTGCCAACTATTTTTAAATGGAGGCGTGAAAGCTGTTTAGAGAGAGCTGCAAGCTACCACTTAGGGAAACACTTGCATCTTTGTTTCAGAAGATGACTTTATGGATTCCAAACGATCTTGCTTCATGAGGCACCTATTACTACTTTATCATAAAGGCTCTAACAGGAACAGTCTAAATAACACCCCTGCACATACCTTTTCTGCCACTCTGGAGATTAAGAAAAATAAAGTTTCGGTGACAAGAAACACACACGCCTGACTATCCCATTTATTTCTTTGCTTGTACTTGTGTAGTCTTCTGGGTGGTTTTCCTCCTTATCTGGACTTGCCATTAGCTTTGTTTATCACTTTTAGTGTTGGAAAAATCTGTAACTCCTACTTAACTGTTATTTACACTGAGATAACCAAAACAAAATTGAATCAGAAGTGATTTGCAAATAGTTGAGCCAAGCCGGGTTGGGGTTTTACAGTGCTGGGTAAATCCACAGGCTGCATATCACACTGTTAATCTCAGATGCCTGGTTTGAAAGGGCATTTAACAGAGGCCTAGTGAGTTCTTCCAGGGAACATATCCCCTAGCTGGCCTGAAGGCTGCCTTTCATCCTTTCATGTTTTCTCTCTCCCTTCCTTCTTTCTCGTCTTCCTTCAAAGGCTTGAGAACACATCTACTTTATTAAAACTCCAGATTTCGTTTTTTTTTTTTTTTTTCCCCATTTAAGCATCCATAGTAAAGAAAGACCAGCACCCCCAACATTTAATGGACCAAAAAAGCAGTCTGGATTTTGACCAGCGGTAGAGGTCCTCCTTCTATCATTACCAAGATGCTAAACTAAGTACAAATATCAACAGTGACAGCACTTTCCAAACCATTCTTTCCAATGTAGTCTGCCCACCATAAAATAACCTGTTTTTGAGAACTTTATAGCCAGAGTTTAGGTAAAAGTGGAGAGAAAAAGTAAACTGCTGCCTATTTGGAAACCATAAGAATGACAGCTTTGGACTTCTGATCTTGGGGCCTAGGGGTATAGGGTCCCTATCAGGCTGTCTCCAGGGTCCTTGGTCTGGTAGGGAGAAAGGTCAGTTTTAGTGTTCCTGGACCTGATTCTCAGCATTATGAATTCTATTTTTTTACATGTGTCCTAATGAGGGAGCTAACTTATTTCCTGCTGCCGCACTGCATCAGTCCACTGGAGTAAAGGACTGATGATCTGCTCTAGTGTAGAGAGAATGAGTCTTTGGCCTCCCAGCGGCCAGACCATTTTTTTAATCCTCTAGGGGGCAGCACTCAATAAATTATGGTAACTACCTGCGGTAGCACTTCTGGAGCGGCTTTTCCTTCCAGGAGCGCAGAGCCCTTTATCAGACTAGAGAGGATTCAGAGTGTGAGCAGATCTGTCAGCCAACTCTGAACAAGCGCCCACAGGTGGGGGAGGGCTTAGAATTGCTTTACTTCAGGACTTCCAAGGACTCTTGGGACCGAAACGCAAATCCCACAGGTGCCCAATGGAAAACAAATCTTTAGGGAAATTCTCAGACTGGGGCTGGCTCAGACCTGCCAGCCCAGTTTTTGTTTAGACTGCAATCTCAGGGGTTTGGCTGCTCTGGGTTTGCTTTCAAGCAGAGGCACAGAGGCAAGGAACCAGCCACTGGATTTCTCGTTATTTTGTGTGTCCACATCATGACCCATAGATAAGGTTGCGCACTAAAAAAGCTGCTCGCCTTGGCAGGAACAACGGGCTTGTTAACATGAATGGCAAACTAACTAGAAGAAAGGGAAGTAGTGAGAAGAGTCCTGGCAGCATCCCTGACTCACCTAGGACGTTTCCCATCATTATACTTAATTGTGAAATAATAATAGATAATCCCATCCTACATTCCTTTCCTTTGACAGGAAGGGATGTGGGCAACATAAAATAGATTTGTAACAGATGCTAAGAGAAAGCTGTTACCTACTAGCCACACCCCAGTGGAAAAATGGGTGTTTCCAGAGAGCCCTGAACCCAAGGGTGTGGCAGAATCACCTAAGGCGAATGTCAAGTATTCAGACCCCTGGGCGCCATTCTTTTGCAGATAGTATTCCTTGGGTGTGGGCAGGTGTCTGAGAATGTGTACCTGTAACACACATTTTAGGGGTTTTGATGCAAATGCTCAACTTTTGGAACATGGAAACCCCTCTTCTAATGTATATTTACACACGGGCTTCCATATAAGCGTTCCCACTGAAGGGATAGCTCCCAGGAGATATTTGTTCACATTTCTTCTCCAGACTCTTTTCAGATAGGGTGGAGATGTTTCAAGTTTCTAGGACCATCCATTTGAAAGAACTTGTCCTTCAATGACAGAGTGGTGGGTCCCCAACTTTACCTTGTGACCTCTATTTAACAGCAACAGCAAAGATCCTATTGAAAAACACCAGGAACCTCACCCCACTCACGGGAATGGGAGGTCAGCAGGTGTAAGTTCAAAGTGTCTGCTGATGGGCTATGGAGATAGATCCAGCCTTTCACCACCAACCCACTCAGCCATTATGTTACTAGACGTTTGTTTCAGGTATGGTTTTCCATCTGTGTTCATCACATTGTACTCATTAAATGCTCACGGAAGCATGACTACGATGCAGGAGGTGTGCGAGCAAGTAAGACGTTTGGATCTTGCCTCCTGGGAACACAAAATCTAAGAGCTCTACAAGTTTCATGCTTCTGTAATAGATGCCACCTGTCACATAGTGCACCCCCTTATCTGAGTCCTGACATCAACAAGCTCTCACCCTGAAAGGGGGAGATATGAGACTTAATTGCCTCTTAATCTGTAATTTACTACACCACCCTAGTTAATATTTAGCTGCATCTGTCTCAGAGGCAAAGACTAAGTTAAAATGTAATAGGTTCTCCTCATTTTTTATTCTCTTTTGTTTGAAACTTAAGTCCAGGTTTCTAGTCAACAGGATTTTTCCCACTCACCCTTTCAACAATCTGCATTTTTCTTTTTTTCCAACACATTTGAACAATGTCTAGTAATTTCTATTCGATATTACCTTTAGCAGACGCCCAGAATCCATACAGATTATCATAAAATGTCAAATCTCCTTCACTCTAAACTGTGTGTGGGTCTCCTCAGCTCTTTCTCAGACATAGACCCTATATCAGGTAGAAGACAATGTTACGAATAAACAAAAGAAAAAAAGGAGCAAAGGGTACAAAATTCATTCAAACATCCCTGGAATCCTTTACGAAAGAAACTAAAGATGTCATGTCATTCCCTCTGCTTGGATTAAGCATATTTCCTCTGCTACACAAATTTTTATATGTTTGAGGCATCAGTGCTTCAATAGGGCCCAGTGAAGCCTCCATCCCTCCTTGAAACAGTGTTCTCCAATCAACTGACAGTCATGTTGGAGATATCTGAGCTTTTAACCTGACTATATGGCATGTGAAATCTCTCATGTGACCCAATAACTGCATTTAAAATTGTATTTAATTTTATTAGATATAATTTCCTAAGCCCTCAAAAATACACAGATTCCACATGTATTTAACAACTACCATGCTGGGCAGCTCAGTTTTAGATCATCTTAAGACCAGAGCTGGAGCTCTCCCATGGAAACCCATAGAAATTCACACACTTATCAGTCTCTGAGGCTGTCTCACTTATTCCCAAAAAGAGAATTTCAGCATCAGCAGAGGCATCACTTGAAAATACTTGGTGTCTATTTGGTGAGGAGGAGGAGAATGAGGGTTGGTTTGAACAATTTCTACTCCTTTCCAGTTTTGAACTTTGGCACTTTCCTGACCAACCTCATTTATAAATTTAAAATTGGTTTTAGTCTTAACTTCATGACCACCCTAAGTAATAGGTATAATCATATATCCCCCAATAAGATGTTAATGCATGTATGATACTTCATCGGAAATGCCTTCATTACAGTATCTGCATTAGGTACCTTCACTCCCTGGCTGGGCATTCGGACAAAGGCCTTTCCTAGCCCCTAAAATAAAAATATAGATTCTGGGGCCTCCCAGGTGGTTGAGCACAGCTGGTTGAGCACAGCACTGTGAATCTGTCCGCAGCCTCTGCAGTGCTGGTTCTATTCCCGGCCAGCCAGGGAGATGCCCACATGGGGTGG